AATGCAGTGGGGGCCAACCTTTTTGGCAGGTGTGCCAGAAATTAGTTCCACACCCTCCCGAATTGCCACTCCAATCCTCTTCCCCTGCTTACTCTGCTGCTCTGCTTTCTCCATACTTCCCTGTGCTCCCTGCCCAATCTGCTGCTCTACTTTCTGCTTCCTGCCATATTTGTTATGGTGCTGCTTGTCCTATTTCTGATCTGTCACGCACCACACACAGAGGTTGCCCGTGCCATTTGTGGCATCCATGCTGTGGGTTAGCCACTGCTGCCCTAACACATTCATTAGCCATCATTTATTTAGGAATTACCTCTGACTACTGAAAGATGGTGGGGATGGAGCAGGTCAGAGGGCTGAGACACAGAGCTACACCCACTTTTAGCACAACTATATTCTTTGGTGCTCTTAAGAAAGAAGGAGTATAACTACTTCTAATACTGGGCCATTTAGGAGCCACTGCAGGAATACTTTCAGCTTGGTCAGACCCTCCTGCACTTCTCCCTTGCTGTTGCTGTCTATCATCATTGTTGTCCTCACCAGTTCTTTAACAATGCCAGCATGCTCTGCAGTGCACAATATACAAAATATAGCTCCTGTTCTGGGAGGGACAACATTGCAAAGACAATTGGGGGAAACATGGAGGGGATTTGTTTCCTGCCCCTCCACTTCATTTCTTAAACATATCATGTAGGAATGGGCTTTTTTAAGAGAGCTATGCTCCACTACTATCTTCGTTCAACAATGTTTTCAACAGTGAAAGCCTTCGAGTATGGCTTCGATACCTGGGTTAAAGTCTCAATTACTGAGCTACAGGAAACTTGATCTCTCTCTCTCCTGACATGGAGAGCACCAAAAGAAAAGACATTGAAATCCACAAGACGGCCTTAATTCAGTGGAGGTATGTCAGAAGAAATTCAGTAGATTTCAGTCAAGACTCCACTACTGTATATACAGAGCTCTTAAAATCAGCCCCCCACCCCTTTGTTGGAAATTGCTCGATGGAAAACCTCTCCATGCCTTGCCTCTCAGTATTTGTTTTACATGTAACAATTCAGTATGATGGATTACTCAAAGTATTGTACATGTCGGCGAACTTAACTTTATCCAGATATACAAGGTTTTTTCCTTGCACGGGGCAATATACATCATAGTAATCAAATCACTTCCTGGGGAATAAGTTTACATTTTGATTCATGTCAGGAACAATCTAAATAACATTCTCCAAGTGCGCATTAACCAAACATGGCTAATGGGGAGGAACAATAGTAAAATCATGCAGATATATAGTAGAGCAGCCTTGGTGATTTCATTGCATTTAGTACTTTTACTTCCAATTCCCTATTTGTAGACGAAGAAGGACTTTGGGGACTGAAGGGAGGGGGAAGAGGTGAGAGGGGGTAGCAGTACTACAGGAGGCATTGTGATAGGAGTCATGCAGTGTGGAGGTGGTTATATGATTTAACTTCTGATATAAAGATACAATGAATACATTATGATCAGACTCCGGTAATGCTAAACTTATTTGCCATAACCTGCATGCAAGACAGAAGAAGTGTTTATGTTAGGACTTCGAACAAGGTATCTTGTTTCCATAATGTTCTCAACAATTCAATTACATGGGAGAACAGCATTGTAAAATTACTTCTCTGACTAGCAGGGTATCAAACAGCACAAAAGAGAGAAGTTAAAGAGTAGCCTCATCTCTCATGCTTTTAGGATATGCTAGGTTTGAGGGTATAGTTATCCTGAAACAATACATGCAGCAAAATATCTATTCTTCAGTATAATTATGGTGTTAAAATAACATACAATTAATATCCTCTTTCACAGATCCTTAACAGAAGGATAACAACATAATGATGTGTCACAAAAGGAGGGTATCTTAAAGCATGCAATAATTCACTAAAGATATTCATACATTTGTTAGCTTCACTTTGAATACATTTGTTAGCTGTACTTCCTTCTCTGAAGCTGGAGAGTCAAGGACAACCACTGCTGTTGTGTAATTATACATTCACTAGCCAACAGTGTACAATCTACGTCACTAGAGAATAGAAATGAAAGCTTTCTATTAAACGGGGGTAGGATGGTTGTAATAACTGGGAAACAGTGATTAAAGCTTCTTAATACTTGGAATTTCTCTTCCATTCTGATCTCTCAAAAGATGTATTCCAAATTGACACAAAACAGTGCATTTCAAACTTTCCCATGACAAAGGCATCTCAAAACTTTTTTTGCTGGAAAAATTGAAACATTTAGGTTTAATTTTTTATGAAGTAGTGAAGTCCTAGATTTCCCTTCATAAAGCAGTATCTGTGGTGAAGATACCCAAGAGCTGAGGAGACTAAAACCATGGGCTTGCCAGCCCCAGGGTAATAAGACAACAGGGGCTGTCCCAGAGCTCTAGACCTTGGGAGTCCTGGGACTCCCAACAGCCCATCCAGGGAGCTGAGAGGAACTTATGTTTTAGTGAGAGGCAAGTATTTCTTAGGATGATATCTTTTATTGAACAAACTATGTAGTTTGGATAAAGTTAGACAGTGAAAATTTTCCATTAAATCAATTCTCTGTTTCTCACTAATCCATGAGACTGGATGATGAGCTCCTATTACACTCCACACAGTAACATTAGCATTTCATCCTGTTGCTGGTGTGGGAAGATCTTTTGTGACCTGGGTCACTTGCATGTAGTTTTGACAGCATGATCTAAATGCAAATCCAAACTCTCCTGAAGTCTGAAGGGCACCATGGTCAATGTTCTGGTTTCAGCCTCTCTTTTGGGGAGCTGTTCCTTAAGAAACAAAGTTAAGAAAGAATCTGAAAGCAAGTGAGAAAGCTTAACATGTAGTTATTGGGAGGCATATTGAGGACACATGAGAAGTCACAAAATCAAGAATAGCTTTTGTAGCCAAGCTTCTACATTGCATGCTACAACAGGATTTGAGAATTTAATTTTCTAACTATCTTTACTCTTCCTTTCCAACCTTCCTACAAACAGTTGCATAATGGAACAGGAATCACTTGGAATCTTATTTTATATTAATAGATTTCATAGACATTAGGGGCTGGAAGGGACCTCATGAGATCATCGGGTCCAGCCCCACCACCATAGGTGGGAAGTCAGCTGGGATCAAGTGACCCGAGCAACAAATATATCCACCTGTTTTTTGAAGGAGTCCAGAGTAGGTGCTTGCACCACCTCTGGGGGAGTTTGTTCCAGACCCTGGACACTCACACCATAACAAACTTTTTTCTTATATCCAGTGTAAATCGGCCTTCTTGGAGTTTATGGCTGTTAGACCTTGCTATCCCTTGGGGAGCTCTGTTGAATAGATGTTCTCCCAGGTCCTGATGCATCCCTATTATAAAGTTGTAGGCTGCCACTAAGTTCCCCCGAGCCCTCTCTTCTCCAGACTGAAGAGCCCCAAGTCCCTCAGCCTCTCCTCGTACAGCCTTCCCTCCAGGCCTTGGATCATACGAGTGGCTCTCCTCTGGACTCTCAAGCTTCTCCCCATCCTTCCTGAAATGGGGGTGCCCAATACTGGATGCAGTACCCCAGGTGCTGTCTCACCAGGGCTGAGTAAAGCAGGAGGATGACTTCCCTGGTTTTGCTTGAGATGCATCAGTGAATGCATGCCAGAGTTTGGTTAGCTTTGCTTGCCACTGCATCATATTGGTGGCTCATATTCATCTTATGGTCAATCAAGACCCCCAAGTCTTTTTGGTCGCGGTGCTAGTGAGCATAGCACTGCTGAGCCTGCTGGGGGTTCTTCCTACCAAGGTGCAGCACCTTGCACTTCTCTGCATTGAAGGCCATCCAGTCTTGGTTGGCCCACCTTGAGAGTGTGTCTAAGTTGGCCTGTATTCCCAGCCTGTCCTGCAGTGTGACAGCCCTCCCCCATAATTTGGTATCATTTGTGAACTTGGCCAGTTACTTCCAAATCCAGATCATTGATGAAAGTGTTAAAGAGTACTGGCCCAAGTACTGAGTCCTGATGGACTCCACTGGGAACCCTGTGCCATGTTGATTTGCTCCCTTCAACTAGTATTCAAGGATCAAATGGACACAAGTTGTTCTGTTAATTTTCCCTCCCTAAAAATATAGGTGCATCCTTTTTGTTTCTTCTTTTTAAAAGGCTTCTGTTTGCTGAAAACGTTTCTATTTGCTACATATCTTGCTTCTCATTGCTTTTATTCATTGATCACCAATTCTAATCTGCTTCAGATATGAAGTCACTATTTAGCTGTGAGCAGTAAAAACCCCTAAATTCACCGTGGTCTTGCAGAGTGTTAATTATTTTTGTTTTTTCCAGAAAAGTATGCCTCCCTGATTCCCTACATCATTAGAAAAAAAATGATTAGACTTGGAGGCAGCCTTAAGAACAGAGACATATCCCTTAGAACAATGATTCTCAACCAGGGTGCCATGGCATCCTGGGATGCTTTGAGATCCTTTCAAGGGTGCATTCAATGTCATTACTCTTAGGTGTGCAAACATGATTCACAAGATAAACGCAATTTTCAAATAGGAATCCATACCTATTGTGGTCTTTCTGAGTCATTTGCAACAGAAAAATTGCTCTATTCATTTTCTGTAGTCAAAAAATAAGTAAAAATTAAGAGCATGCCTCAAGTCTATCAAGGAGTCTCTTGAGTTTAAAAAGTTTGAGAACCACTGCATTAGAGCATATTGGTGTTTTCAGAGCTTATGTTCATCGTTCAGTTAAGAGTACAAATCTTGAGATGTCCAGTATGCTCAATGAGCAGTGAACTCCAATTATATTATATTTGTTGCACTGGCTTCATGCTACAGGGATCCAAAGACAATAAAGACTATCCATCATTCAGACCTATGATTAAGTGACAGTATTATTAGCATAAAACATTATTACATAACTAAAACCACAAACAGAGGAAGGAAGAGGTTTACAGATTTTATTATCCCTTTCAGGGATATCATTAATTTATGCTGGAGATTCTCTAGCTATATATTTTTAAAAGACTAGAGATGCAAATAAACACACTGAGTCCAGTCACAGCATACATTATTAATCCACTTATCTATTTAGGTACCAGCTTGAGGGATGTACAAGACAAACTCAACCCACATTTGTTCCTTGTATTCCTTCTCACTGCTGATAAGATCATTTGAATGATAAAAGGTGCAAGTGCTGCACAGTTTTGTGATATTGTGGGCTAATCCACGCATACCCCATCAATAGGCCTTGGAGACTAGAGAGCTAAATAGTTAATGCTTTTCTGTCTACAATCAGTTTAATAATTAATATAATTCCTATCCAGGAAATGATAAAATATGTCACCATCACACATGAAAAATGGAACAAGCTCAACTAACATAAAAGAAAATATTATTTAGATTATAGCAATTAAGGTAGTCTTTAGCATATTCTCAGGGGAACTCAAAACACTTTACAGAGAAAGTCAAAATTTGCCTTCAGACACACAGGGTAAGTTTTGCCCAGTTATTAAGACTAAATACCCCTGGGAGGTGTTAGGATCCTTCTTTACATTGTGCAGAGGTGGAAACTAAGTGTTTATGTACCAGATTGTCTCTAGCACATGAGCACAAATGGGAAGAGGACAGGCAAGGAGCTACTTTCCCCTTCAGCTAAGTTACAAAAGCCCTGCAGAGCTGCCACTACTGTTTACATGTGGCTTGTTGTGCTGTAAGTGTGCTGGATCTAACCTCCAACCACCTTTGCACCAGCCTGGAGGAAATGAAACCTGCTTCTTCTACAACCAGCCTTTCTCTCTGCAGTCCTCTGAAGCGGTGTGGTACCATATCCTCTACAACTCGCTTTGAGCTTGGGCTCCTTCACCTCTGTCCATGATAAGCTGTAGCCATATATCAGTAACCTGCTCTAAATAACTTTCTAAGGCCATGTGCCTAGAATGAAACCCAGGCCTCTGGCTTCCTAGTCTTCTGCTTTAAGTGCTGGGCCACACTAGAATGAATGTAGAAAAGATCAAACCATTACAACAAAAAGATCAGCTCTAATTTGATCTACTTCAATGAGTGATTATTTTTGAATGATGAATTTAACTAAACAGAGAAAAAAAGGCCTTTTGTATGGATATCATATCTCTTCTAAGTTTACATATGGGCACTCTGTTACAAAGCATGAGGTTTAAATATGCAGTACATACTCCTAAAGATGAGGTGTTCAATGTAATATCCTTTTTAGAAAGGTCTTGAAGATTTCATGTGGGAGATTCATTAACCTTTGGATAATAGGCAATGGAAAGTGGTGTTTAAAATTCAAACCTATGCTATTTCTAAGGTGAATAGTTTGCCTTTATACTAGGTACATGCAAGAAAAAGTACATTATATTTATATGAAAAGAATGTTAGCCACATCAGTAGCTATCCATGGTCTTGTTAAAAAGATCACTTAAATTCAGGAGAGCATAAAATCATTATCTTTTCCAAACAGCAAGTTATCTTAATGAAATCTGCAACAAAGTGTTATCAGAGATTTCCATGCACTCCTATTACAATCACAGCAAATTTTGCTTCCTGCTTTTTGTTCAGCCAAAGGAGCATAGTAAAATATTTTTTTACATGCAAAAATGGGATTTAACCTTTACTGTATTCATCTGAAATGCAATAGCAATAGTGCCATGAAGCACATGTTAATCCAGGACACTGATCAGCTACTGGACTTTAAACCCATTCAGATTTTTTTGACCTTAAGTAACCAGAACTGCTACAATTTGATTGCGTGTCTGATGCTTTTAGCTCAGCTGATGAATATTGCCCTAAAAGCTTGCTCTGAACTACGGAGGAATAAACGCCGAGCGGTGACTTGGCCTGGGGGCTCAAAGCAAGGACAGGCTCTTTGGTGAAGCCCTGGTGATACCCAGGTCCTGACTGCCTGTATGGAATCCCTTGTTGATTGCTGCCACATAAGTGTGTTTCATTGCCCACGTGATTAGCAGCAAGGCCATCTGCTGTGTAGGGCTTGTTGCTGTTACTGTTAAGGTTTGAGCTGACAGTTTGCTGAGAGAGAACTTGAGGATGAAGAGCAGATTCTTCTTCCTCTTCAGAGAGGAGTGAACAAGAACCTTCACTGACGGGATTATCATTCATGGCTGGAGGTGGACAGCCTCTGTCTTCCTGAAATGGTGAAGAGCCTCCATGCTTGTCAGTTGGAGGCAGGTCTGAATTGAACTCATTCTCTTCATGGAGACTTGTAATCAGCTGCTTATTTGGCTGTTTTCTTACTGCCATTCGCTGGATGGCAAAAGCTAGGTCAATAAGACTAAGGAGAAAGGAGAGGCCACTGACTCCCCAAATGAAAATCATCATGATAGTTTTCTCAGTGGGCCGGGAGATGTAGCAATCAACCATGCTCGTACAAGGAGAATGGTAGCAGGAAAAGCGCTTGGGAACAAAAAATCCAAAGAGATAGTAGTGCCCAGCTCCAAAGGCAGCCTCAGCCAATGTCCTTAGGAAAAGGTGAACAATGTAAGCCCCAGAAAAATCAGGGATGCTCAAGTAGTCAGCCTTACAGGCTGGTCTAGTGATGGCAGCCCTTCTGCTGGGTTCCTTCAAAGCTTTGTGGCTAGTGAAGTCTTTAATCCTTTTATGTCTACATGGCAAACAGTGTGCTCTTACTATGTGCATGGCTACCTTATGCAGAACATAGACACTGAACACAGCATAAGGTAACAGTACAGACACTGTCTGAATGAGCCAAAATCTAAAATGAGAGACAGGAGAAAAAATGTCATAGCACACATTGGAGCATCCAGGCTGCAAGGTGTTGCAGATGAACCGTTCCTGCTCATCTTGGTAGAGTGGATATCCTGCTAACACTATCACCGCCATCCTCAACAAGATCACTAACATCAGCCAGATCTTTCCTAGAAGAGAGCAAATGGGAGGAGAATCAGAACACAGAAAGTGAATTTTAGAAAGTAAGAGACACGTCGGGTGCTCAAATGTATATGAAGAAATAGCAGCTGGAATCAAGTCTTCTTTTTCCCAAGCTCCTTACCCTCTCCCCTTAATTCTCATCTGAACAAGGGTTGGGAGGTGTCTTAAAATGTATTAGACAACCATTCAAGACTCTAGTGTGGAAAAAGCTCTGTTCATTTCAACAAGCGCTAAACTAAAGCCTCAGGTCCCCATACCTCAGTGGATGGCCACTTTGCAGCAAGGGTCTGCTCTAATGATCAGCTTCAAGCATAGGTCACTTCTAATGTGGGTCATACAACCAGAGCCAGTGCCCAAGCCAGTGCCACTGCTGTCACTTCTCCCCACTACCCAGCCACCCCACAGGTGAAGCTCCTACCACAGGAAAGCCATGGAAATGCCACAGAAGCCTGTGCAGTCTGCTTTGTGGGGCAGAAAAAATGGTTCTGTGGGACACATGCAGCCTGCAGGTTGCTAAACCCCTTTCCTACTTCGTATGTTCTGGTGCACGTTTACATCTCAGTACAGAGAAATCCCAGTTGGGTAAATTTACCTCAATTTCCTCCATGTTTCTCCTTCCTTTATCAAGTAGTACATCATACATCCCTACTGGTATGTTTGTCTTATTTTAACCTGAGTTGACTCACAAGAAGGAAAACTAAATGTAACTACTGTACACACCATTGTCCTTGATAAACATTCATCTTTCATTTTTATTAAGTTTTAATGTATAAGTTAAGGTTCAATGGGATAGCAACAGAGGTATCTATCCTATCTACACTATAACTTACAACTGAAGTAGTTACTATGTGCTAATTAATATGTTTTCAATCTTTATTAAAACTGTACACATTTTCCCCTCAGTCCTTTCTCACTATTGTTTTATTGGTTGTCTATTTCCACTGATGTCATTACACCCTCATTTTTGCTTTCTCTGGTGCTCTAAAAGTCTTCTGTGTCTGTGCCTGCAAAGTACCTTTCTGTCTTAAAATCAGCTGTAGTAAAGCCTTAAAAACACATCTACATGTGCATTAACACGCTTTAGGTTTAAGGTGCATAAACTAATACCTCCATTGTGAGGTACTAGGAAAGTGCAAATTAGCTTGGCTTAGTGCATATTAACTAAAGAGCAGAGCTTTTAAATGATGCTTAGTGCGCATTAGCCTATTTTAAAGTTGCTAGGTTTTTGGTTGTAGCCATGTTGGTCTAAGGACATAAGGCAGGCAAGGTTCTTTGAGTAGATGTGAGATCTTTTATTAGACCAACTGAGTAGCTGGAAAAAAGTTCTCAGCAAGCTTTCAGGCACAGGCACCCTTCTTCAGGCGTAGGGAATCTCTGCTGCTCCAAGTCACCAAGTAATGAGAGAAGCTAAAAGTGTTGCGGGATGTCAGTGAACATGTAAATAGGTAGAATTAGAAAGACAAAAGGTAAAGCAGAGAGGGGAGTGGAGGAGAGAGCAGGAGGAAAAAAGGCTAAAGGGAGACATTACAGTGCTAGAATACAAGGTAGAACAGACAAGGTAGCCTCTTGTCTACCTTGTATTCTAGCCTTTAGCCTGTTTTCCTCTGCTCTCTCCCCATTCCCTTCTCTGCTTTACCTTTTATCCTTCTAATTTCTACCTAAAAGTTAAATATCTACCTCCAATGAAATAAATGGCAAATTCACCAATATCAGTAGTCCTAAATGTCCATTCTAACTGGTTGTGTAATGAATTTGGCAATATAAAGTGTTATCATGGACTGACTCTCTCCAGGCATGTGCACGTACACCCTCCTGCCCCTCCCAAATTTTTTACACTTTTACACTACATTCCTTGGACTCAAAATCCTAATTTAGGGATTCTGTAAAATGTAGCGAATATACAGAAACACACAATCTCTCTCTTACTTGCCAAAAAACTATGTTTGAATCTTTAAACATCCAAATGTTTGTGCAACATCAATGTGGTGTCAATATTTTACTGGCATGCATTTGGGATGACTTACATAGTTCACTTGAGGCTAGTAGGATAGACTATAAGATAAAATAACAGCACTGTACTCAGAAACGATGAAAATGGCAAAAGCATAGCAACTCCTTGATAATTCAGGGAGACTCCTAAATCTGAGATCACACTGAAAACCTCCCGTAACCCACTAAATGTGTTACCTACACACAAACTAGCTGATGGGGGTTTCACACGGTCTTCTCCTGACAGAATTCTACTGGCTACCGTGCCCCTCCTTTTACGGTGAGATGCGAGTGGGGGAATACTTGCTACAGGAAGCCAAAATTAGCCCTTAATAAGTAATACTTCACACGTCTGTAGCAGTCTTAGTACAAGGATCCCAAAGTGTTTAAGAAATGTTTAATTAAGCCCTGCAACACCCTGAGCTGTGTTCTGCCGTCAATTTTTAATTAGAAGGTATTCAATGGGGAGGTCTACTTAAAGATCAGTGGCTCCCTGGGAGGTAACTTAGTATCACCCATACGCACTCCATTGTGCTTTGCTTTCCGTAAAGGCTCAACCCTGCCTACAGTAATTACAGTGAGTCCTTTCATTTGAGATTCATTGGGATTACTTACTGTTGGGAGCAGTACACTCTGGAGTATTTACAGGACTGGGTTGTAAGGGCCTGATCCTACAAAGCTTTTGGATCGGGCCATGTCGCTTGCTTCAAACAACACCATGAATCAATGACAAAATCTTACACAAACAAAACAGTACATCAAAACCCCCAAACACTGAAGCCATTGTCTGAGAAAAACTAAAATGCATTTTAAAAATCTGTTTGAACTCTGTAAACATCAAAATGAAGTATGAAAGTTATGATTACCTAATCACAACAGTTTTTGGAAGTTTTCTTTCCCCTTATATTATTTACCTTGTGGTTTAAGTTACTAAGGACATAATTCCTTTTCTTTTTACGTCATATGATGAAAAAGCATAGTTGTTACACCTGCCTTCACTTTGGGGGTTTCATTACAGCACAGCAGGTCTGACAGGAAACTCGGTGGGTAAAAATAGGAACACACGAATGTATCATTTCATTCACAAAGTTCAGAAAAAATATTCATAGGAGGTATCTATTAAAAATTACAAATATATTAACTACCAGTGTATTCCGTAGCAAAGCAAATTGCCTCTCCTCTGTGACGAGTCCAGTCAGATGGGTGGCTAGAAAGGAAAGCTGGTTACCAGGAAAGAAAGTTCAATGATTCTTGCATATAACTCTGGAAAAAAAAAATACATCTTTTAAAGATACTTACCAACAATGGTCACATTGTAGTTGAGAGTGATAATCAAAAACCCCAGTGAATCCCAGCGCTCCATTTTTTAAGTGGTTCACTACACTTCCAGCTTCTGAAGTTTCAGAAGGAAATCTGCCATTTCTAAGCAAATTAAACCTAGAGAGGAAGAAAATAATAAAAAGGGGGCAATGGGAAACCCATTTACTAGAAGCATTATTGATGAAGGGTTATTTTCATGAAGGAACGAAAGGGGGTGCTGACTCTTGCAGGTCTTTCTTAGCAAATACAGTTGGCTTAACAAAAAAGTGCTAGCTTCACAGATCGTTTTGCTGTACTTACCTCTATGGGCCCCCTGTCCGGACAACTGCCAGTAGACAAAGGACAACAAGTAATCTCTGCCATTGTGCACTATTCTTACATCCCAGGGCATACCAGCCTCCTGGCATTGCTGGGATGTTTCAGTGGCAAAAGACAGAGAGAGAGAGAGAGATCAGTACAGGAAATAATAGAAGCCTCTCCGTTTTCCCCAAGGGGAATACAAATAGATAATACAAGGAAAGGGGATACAGAAGGACTGATGTCTCTTGTCTTTGGACAGAATTTTCAGTTTCACAGCTCTTTACTAGGAAGCTATCCCGTTACAATCTTCCTGAAGTTATTTTATTAAAAAAAACACAGCCTCCCTGACAGGCCATTGTGGTCTTGTCAATCACAGTTGCACCAAAAATTCACTTGCCTTAAGCCTGACAAGAGGGCAAAGTCTCCCTTGCAGGCATATTGATGATGAAAATGGTGACAGCTGAGAAAAGATGATTCAAGACACTATTAAAGTAATTTCTTTTCCATTGGTATCAGTTCTCCCCAGCCGAACTGTTCTGTACCCTAATCATCACTAGGAAGAGCCTAGTAGAGATTTGCCTCTGTAATTTAAAATCTAAGCAGATACTTGTAAAGATGCTTCCAATTTTTATTTAAGTAGTAAACTGTGACAGTGCTAAGGGCTAGCCTGTAATTTTACAATCTGCCCTGAGTAATGGGGGGTACTGTTCATTACTCGTAAACAAACCCAGATACACACAGAGAAACTCATGACTGAATCACCACGACATCTTATTGTTATAAGATGGATCCTGAGTGTTATTGCAGTCAGGATCCATACTCTCCCCCCACCCCCATGATGTGCTGGGGAATCGTCGTCCTGGTCAGCTCTCTTTTTTCCCTCTACTCTGTGCTGTAATACACACCGAATGCTACTGTTGTAAAGGAAATTCACCCAGCCTAAGCAATTGCTGTATGTATTTGGGATGGTGGTGCCAGCAAAATGTAATATCTCGACAGCCCTATAACCTAAAGATGTCCATTTATCCCCAGAACAGGTAGAAGTGCTGATAATGAGCTTCTATCTTGAGACCATTGCTTCAAACAGAGGTTGGCCCATTCACTCTAGCAAGACCTTGCACTTTGTTGAGATTACCAACAAGACTGTCAGTTAGTGCTAATTGTGCCTGGGCTGGGATTTGTGACTGGATTTGTCCACTAAAAACTGGATAAAAACGTTCTGTTAAATTCCCAGAGTACCTAACTGTTCAAAGAAAAACTTCTCCACCAGCACCTTGAATTCAGTGAGGCTTAATTGGGAGTACTAAACTCTTTGGGCAGAACTACACCAAGCAAAGTTGGTTAGTCTGAGACCAGGAAAACACTAAAATAACAGTGTATAGTGATGACTCTTGGAAAAAATAAAATGTTGATGTTGAGCTTTCAAAAAACTAACTATGATTTATCCTCTACAGCTTGATCCTCTACAGGTTTTAAATCTAGAGATGTAGTATCATGTTTTTAGTGGTCTTGTAATTAATGCATTTACTTTCCAGCCAAAACATGTTTCTCGTCCATGTTATTGAATTACGATGCAGGGGATTGGTTGTAAGTTATATGTTTATACTTGTTTTTCCTCTTTCTGTTGGGATGGTTCCAAGATGGGAACAGTGCAAAGGAACAAACTATTTCCTTTGGAGAAGTAGGTACTCCCATTAAACTTGCTTCACCAAAAATAGAATCAGGAATGTTAAGACTTTGACAGGGTACTAATACACAGCAGCTGCATTGACACAATAGACCATACATCTTCCATATCAATATTACACATAAAATTATCTTGGGTGGCTTTTTAAAACAGAAGGCCATAATCATTTGTCTATATTAAGCACATTAGTCCTGTTGCTTCCAGGGATCTGTGATGGAGTGATGTTCTGGGGTATCTTCTTTCTAAAATAAAATACTATTATCTTCTAACCTTATGGACTGTGGTATCCTCTATAGTCCAATGAGCAGGGCAGTACACTGGGGCTAGGGACAGACATTACACATAAATGGGTTTAAGTGACAAGAATCTGGTTTAAACTTGTAACAGAACAGACGTTCAGTACACATAAACCAGTTTCAAAATGGCTGAAACTGCTTTGCGATAAACCTGGTTGGATGTAGCATCAGACTTAACGGATTTGGCTCAAACCAGTTTATGTAGTCTGTCCCGGACCCCTTGCTGGTTTAAGTTAAACCAGAGACCCTCAGCATCCCAGCATGCTTTCTGGGCTGGGCTCTCTACTCCAGCCCAGCCAGGCTGGCTCTGCCGCTCTGCTCCACAGCACGAGCAGAGAGAGGCAGGGGCAGGGTCTGGCCAGGGAGGGGTTTAATTCCTCCCCATCTATCCCACTGGCAGGGACCCAAGCTAGGTCTGCCGGGCACTCCCCCCGAGACAGAGTGGGGCAGGGAGGATGGTTAGTCTCTCCTCTACCTCCACTGACAGCCAGGTCTTTCTGCCCTCACCACTGCGCTCCCTGCCACCCCCCACCAGGGGCCCTGCCTGGCCATTCCCCCTCCCCACCGCTGCAGTGGGAGGGGGCAGGGTCCTTGTTGGGTGCAGCAGCCCCTGTCATAATGTGGGGGAGCATGAGCCCCTTCCCGGCGGGGGCGCTGTGCTGCAGGGCTGGCAGAGCTGCGGCAGACTGCGCACAGCAGCACCGGGGTCTGGAGTGGGCCAAAGCCCTGCAAGCCCCCTGCAGCAGCTCTGCTGGCCCCGCAGAACGGCTCCCACTGGGGCTGCTGGCCGTTATGGTCACTCACCGCTCACCACTCCAGCTGTCGGGCAGGTTTAGCCCCTGCCGCTCAGAGACCATGCTCGGGGCAAGCTCCCTCCTGGCAACAGAGGACTTATTCAGCCTCTGGCCCCGAGCTGCTGTGGGTTTGGGGCCAGCAGCTGAAAAAGTCCCCTCCAGGCATGAGGGGGCTGGGTCTGAGCATAGAGCGGCTGCAGCCAGGCTGGGCAGACCCCGCTGCGGTGCCAGAAGCTTCTGTGCTTGGGACAAGCCCCCTCCCAGCAGGAGGAGGCTTATTCAGGCTCTGGCTGTTGGCACCACAGCAGGATCTGCCTGGCCCAGCTGCAGCCTGTGCTCAGGGCCAGCAGCTGAATAAGCCCCCTCTTGCTGGGGGGGGCGGGGGGCGGCTTGCCCTTAGCACAGACTGAGCAGTGAGGGCCAGCTCTGCCCCCACCCAGCAGCTGGCGTGGCGAGCAGTGAGTGACCATAATGGGCAACAACCCATCACGGTTTCTCGGAGCACAAGCCTGTTTCCGACAGGGGCCACTTTGCAGGGCTGGCAGAGCTGCTGCAAAGCATGGCAGGGCTCCAGGGGGCTTGCAGGGCTCTGGACCACAGCGCTGCCGTGTGCAGCCCTCTGCAGTTCTGCCATCCTGCAGTGCAATGCCCCCACCGAGAAGGGGCTTGCACTCCCTAACATTATGACAAGCTGCTGCCCCCAACAAGGGCCCTGCCCGCTCCCACTGCAGCAGTGGGGTGGGGGCATGGCTAGACGCTGCCTGGCAGGGACAGGGGCTATTCCTCCTCCCTCCATCGTCCAGCGGAGGGGACAGCAGGGGGCTATTCTGGGGTAGGGAGCACAGCAGCAACAGCAGGCAGACCTGGCTGCCAGTGGGAGTAGAGGGGAGACTAACTCTCCTCTCTGCCCCAGGGGCCATGGTGTCCCACTGCTGCAGTAGTGACGGGGGAGCACCCAGCAGACCCAGCTCAGGTCCCTGCCAGTGGGATAGAGAGAGAGGAATTAAACCCCTCTCTCTAGCCCGTTCAGCCCGGACTGGCTACGTCCCCCCCAGCACAGCTTCCCTGCAGGCAAGGGGTGGCTCTAGTGCCCCCTGCACCTGGCCCGAGCAACCGCAGGCATGTGCCCACATTGCCTCAGTCCAGAGAGCGTGCTTGTCCTGAAACCAGTTCACCCTAGCCAGGTTAGACTAACCTGCAAAGGTTGAATCAAATTGAAGCTCCAGCTTTTTGAATGTCTGTCCGTAGCCAGGGAGTCTAATCTTGTTTCATTAAACTATTGTCTGATTTTAGACAGACTGCGCTTAGAATGGCTGCATTTTCATCTCACTCTTTGTCTTGTTTATTTACATCATAACCTCTTTGAGGCACGGGCTGCTTGCCTGCATAGTGCCCAATACGATGAGGCCTTGATCCCTTCCAGGGTCTTCAAGTACTATTGCCCCCCAGTGCATGAACTGAATATTCAGTTACAGCTAGCTTTTCTACGTTGGAGTTATACATTGGAGTTTTGCAAAAATACCACAAGCTTTTTCATTAGGCTGGTAATTAGGAAGAGATTTCTAGCCATCAGGGAAGTAAATTTCTGGAACAGCCTCTTGATGAAAGCAGAAGAGGCAAAAAACACCCTAGATGATTTCACTGATACATTTTCTGAAGTGATTTTATGACATGGTGGTCTTGACACTAGGAACCAGGCTCTGTGACTTCAGAAACCCCTTTCCCTCCTGCTTCTTTTGTTCTTCACCACCACTCGTCTTTATGGAGTTTTTTCCCAAATAATTAGAGGCAGAAACTAATAAAGTTTCCATTTTCTACTAATTCATCAACAATATGAAGCAATAATAAGAATGGTTTTCCATACAGCTAGTTGCCATTTCCTGAAGTTCAATATGTCTTGATTACTTATCACCTCTTACTCATCTCTGGGTTCTTCTGGATAAAAAATCTAAATAAAGCAGAGATA